TTAGTGCAGACGCGGCGGCCAACAAGGAGTCCAGCACCTGCGCGCGCTCGCTGAAGGTGTGCAGTGAGAGGCCTCCGTGGTGCTCTCAGCAATGACGGCTGTCGGTTCATTGAGCCCGCGCCGCTGAGGGACAACCAAGTCTTGCCTTACCCTGGCGGGCCCTTGTTTCAAAGACCTGTATGCCATATATATATATATATATATATATATCCTAACGGGTGCACTTGCACCTGGTGGTTCGCTGTAGTGCGTGGTTCGTATCCGCGGCGTTGTGCGTCGTTACTAGTTTGTTGCGGCTGGGCAGTTGGACAAGGTTGTAGTTGGTAGTGCGTTGTAGTCGGACAAGGTTGCAGTTGTAGTTGTAGGTGGACAGGGTTGTAGTTGTAGTTGTAGTTGTAGGTGGACAAGGTTGTAATTGTAGTTGTAGGTGGACAGATGCATTGGCCTGAGCAGAGGCATGGCAGGGAGAAGAGGGACACACAGAAGGTGCCAGAAGGACAGGGTGGATGCATGGGAGGCGCCAGAGGGGCCAGCTCATCGCGGGGGGGGGGGGGGGAACATCCCAGGTAACGGCCGCTATCGCGAATCGCACAAAATTCGCGAAAACAGCTCCGCCAGCCGTCTCCAAGTCCCAGTGGCGCTGTCTGAGGAGATGCGCGCTGCGCAGGTGCGCCCCAGCTCGGAGGGCGCCAGCTATACCGGTACTACTATAGATTACTGTGCCGTGTCGACTTGTGCAATGTCCAAACAGCGAGCGTTCGAGGTTGAACCAGTCGCGCAAAGTCAAATACCAACGCCGAGGTCGTCACGGCACGAACCTCCCGTACTCCGATCTTGGCCAGGCCCACCTAGGGCCCAGGATCGATGTGTATACCTCCTGCCCTGGCAGGGAAAACACACACACACACACCAATCCTGGGCCAAAGGCTAGTCTGGCCAGGGCTTCCAACGGCTGGGTCAGTAGCTGGCTGTAGCTCCTGGTCCGTGGCTGTAGCTCCTGGTGATCTACAGATTAGCATGGTGACCACTACCAAACAGCACTGTGCTTTTTGGTGCTGTTTTCTACATGGTTCTTGCACTTCATTCATGCATAGCCGTCTTGGCCCAAGGCCCAGAGGCTCCCAGCGGGCCATTTTCGCATGCCCAGGTGCGACTACTGCAGGTGTCCTTGTGGCTGGCACTCGTTTCCGGGGCTGCAACGCAGCTCTTCCGTGGTAAATTGCCTCCCTTGCTGGTTCGACCCCGACCACAACTGGGAGTTCGACTACGAGGACGACCCAGTGACGGACTGGCTGTCCGACGAGGAGGACAACAACGGGCTCGGACCCTGCGGGTACGAGGAGGCCAGCGAGAGTGAGGAGAGCAGCTTCGTGCCAGACACGGAGCTCGACAGCGACGAGGAGGCAGAGGGCCCCGTGGGCCCCGTGGAGGAGCCAGAGCCAGAGCCCGAGCCAGACTCTGCTACTGCTAAAAGGCGCCGCTTGCAGTGATGCCGAAGCCTCAGCAGCGAGTGTGCCAGCACTGCGGCAAGGCTGGCCACAACCTCACGAGTTGCCCTAAGCTCGCCCAGCAGCTCCTCCGCAGCGTGCAGAAGGCCCACTCCCCCAGCGCCGTGGTGGACGCGCTCAAGGCAGGCGGGTCGGGCCTCAAGGTAACGGGGACACAGACGAAGTTCATCCACCGCAAGGCCCACAAGCTGCAGCGCAGGGTGTCGCACAAGGGCAGCCGCAGGGTCCACGCGGGCACGCCTTCCCCCCTGGGAGATACACGTGGAGGAAGAGACGAGGAGGAGGAGGCGGAGGAGGAGACGGAGGAGGAGGAGGAGGACGGGAGGGGGAAAAAGGAGAAACAGGAGGAACACCAACTTGCCTTCATCGCCGCGGACGGACGAGGCTCGACCAACTAGACACAGAGGTATCTCCCATCGGGCACGGCGCGCCTGTGAAGGTCTCCAGGCCAGGAAGGCAGCGAAGGGGCGCAAGAAGGCGGCGAACGAGAGGCGCCGCTGCTTGACCAGGAGCACCAAGGACGAGGCAAAGCTGGCCTTGGCAGCAAAGCGGAGCATGGCCAAAGCGTGGAAGGCTCTGGCCAAGTGGCGCTTGGCCAAGGCGGGTGCGCGTGGTAACTGCAGGAGCTACCCTTGCCCTCGGTGCCATGCAGGCTGTACCTGCACCACGCTCGACGGACACGGCCAGACAGGGAACGGCCCGCAGACCAAGCGGAAAAAGGCGCTCCAGGCCACGCTGGCGGTCAAGAAGAGAAAACTCACCTCGGTCTTCTTTCGGGGCAGCAGATGCGGTGACATCTACAATGACATCAAATTCTTCGTTCTCCACCAGGTCAAGTACCCGTTCCCGCTGCCTGCGCTCGTGGAGTTTGTAAAGAAGTACCATGCAGCCACGAGGCCCGAGCTGCAGCAGCTCTGCAAGGATGTCGGCATGTCTCGCTCTCGCTCCATCATGAAGCTCTTTCGCTGGCTCCTCTGGCAGGAGGCGAACCTCGGCTACGAGGAGATGCAGGCCATGACGCTCAAGGGCGTCGTCGAGGGCGACGGCACTGGCCTGAAACTCTTCAAGCACAAGGGGAAGAACTGCCACGTAGCACTGTGGGGTTTGGCGGAGCGGCCCCGCGGTTCAGCCGTGCCGCGAACAGTGGTGTACTTCGTGCCAGTCAAGAAGGTTGCGCCCAATGCCGTGTGCCCGGTAGTGCGAGGAGTAAAACAGGACAGGCCAGCTCTCTTGGCCCTCCCCCCCCTGCCTTCGTCGGATGGAGGGATGGGGGTGATAGGAGGGAGGGGGTGGGACAGAGGAGGAGGAGGAGGAGGAGGAGGAGGAGGAGGAGGAGGAGGAGGAGGACGAGGAGGACGAGGAGGAGGAGGAGGAGGAGGAGGAGGAGGAGGAGGAGGAGGAGGAGAGGGGGCGTTGAAGGCAGGGAGGGTGGAGGGCCAAGGGAGCTGACCTGTAGTGATTTCCTCCTCCCAGGTAGAGTGCCGCGAGGACGTCTTGGCGTCGGGCGGCCTTGACCACGTCGCGACCAAGTCGGTGCTGGTCTCTGACGGTGCTCGTTTGTACGCCCGCCTGGCTCGTGAGCATGGCCTACGCCATCGATTCTGTGTACATTCCAAGGGGATATGGAATGAGAAGGCGCGTGTGCGTGGGTATGGCACACTCGATGTGAACACAGGTATGATCGATGAGCGGTGGTCTCGCATCAAGGAGTGGATTCCGAAGGGAATCTGGGGGAGTGACGGCGAGGGCAACCTGAACGTGGAGCTCTGGAGCTACGTCTACCAGTGGTGGTTTCGATGCCATCATCCTTTGAAAGCGGACAGGCAGGCGCGCTTGGCCGAGTACTGGGGGCGTGAGGCTTAGGGCACCTAGGCCTTGCAAGCAAAAAGAGCAAAAAGAGCAACGCGCTCTGAGGCTCCCTGAGCCTCCCTGGGCCTCCCTGAGGCTCCCTGGGGCTCCCTGAGACTCTCGGAGGCTCTCTGAAGCTCCCTGCGGCTCCCTGAGGCTCCCTGAAGCTTTCTGAGGCTCTCTGAGGCTCTCTGAGGCTCCCTGAGGCTCCCTGAGGCTCTCTGAAGCTCCCTGAGGCGCACTGGGGCTCACTGAGGCTCCCTGAGGCTCCCTGAAGCTCCCTAGGCCTCCCTGAGGCTCCTCTTCACGGGACGCACTTACACAGATGTACACATACACACATACATACACATCTACATATACCCTATACACATATGTATACACATACACCTACGTACACTTACAAACAAACATATACGTGCATATACTACACATATCATACATCGTGCACCAGGTGCAAGTGCACCCGCAGGGATATATATATATATATATATATATATACACACACTGGTAGAGACGCATCGCTTGGCGCAAACTCGCCTGGGCAAAAAGTCCAAGGATGTACACACAAAGCGTAGCGAAACTCCGCCCCATGGAGTGACAAGAGAGAACAACAGGACATGACATTGATATTTTCAGACAGTGAACAGAGAGCTTCAAGGGCGGGGTCTCACGCCAGAGGCACAACCGCCTCGCGCTGACTTATCTGGTCGATTGCCCAAGGATGTGCGCGCAAGGTGGAGCGACCAGCTCTTGAAAGTAAAAGAATGCATCACAGTCACTGGGCTTACCGCAGGCGCACGTCACCAACAAGCCAGCATTGCAGCCTACTGAGGCGCCGACCAATTCCCTTTCTGAACATTCGAACGCCAACAGTGAAACTCGGCCACCCTGTCGCGGGCACGTTGGGGCCGTGTGAGAGCGCTTGTTGGCTTTAGGCAAATGTTTCATTGGGAGGAGCGGGGGGGGGGGGGTCGGTAGGGGTCTGTCTCCGGACCTCTGCTGCATGCCACTGTTTGCAGCAGTGCGCCCCAGGAGAGGCCCCACCCGCTCGCAACAGGCGCCCAAAAACAGCCAGCCAAGATCTACTCCATGGGGGGCGGGGCGCGAGGGTCCGCGCCGATCGGCAGAACAAATCATAGGAAACGACCACCATAGCCGACAGCGCAAGCTGGTATCTCGTATTCAGTGCAGTCGGAGGAGCTCATACATCGGTATGAGGACCAGGTTTGCGCGATCCACCGAACCTTCCGCGCAGTCAGCGGATAGGCAGTGTCCTCGTCAGGCCTCGAGTAAGTGCAAAAGACACGGGCACCGACGGATCTAAGAGATATCCTCCACCTGCTCCCCGGCGGGGAATAGGAGGAGGAGGAGCGGGAAGAGGAGAGAAGAGGAGAGAAGGGGAAGAGGAGAGGAAGCGACTCAGCGATTCGCACGCTGCCTAAATTAGCCGCGGCCGTCAGGGCGCGAGATCACTCGACGCACGCCATGCGCGCGCGCCTGACGGCACTCCTTCGACGCCAAGGCGCCCGACGCCCTTCTCGGCGCTCCTCGGCGAGAGAGGCGAGGGCCTCAGGCGTCCGCCTTTTTTGCAGCAGAACCCTGCTGCATTCTTCAGAGAGCTCCTTCTTCGGCTACGGCGGCCACAGACTGTACGCGGTGCAGGCAGCGACTCCATGCCCATGAGCAGGGCCAGGGCGATGGCCGCAACCTTTTGAAGTTTGCGGCAAACGACGCGAAGAACGGGGAGAGGTCCCTGACAATGTTGTACAGCAGGAGGTTGTAGCCGAGGGCCCAAATGCCGGACAGCATCACCCGCACCACGGTGCCGAGGCTCAGCTGGGCGATATCCACGAAAACGCTGAAATTCGTGGCCATCTCGTGCCCAGGATAAGACACGGGGTGCTTGATCAAGTAGATGGGCAACAACAGCAGCACGACGATTGGAATAGCCATCTAAATGAGCGAGTCGATAGCGTTCAGCTTGACCCCTTGCCAAGAATCATCACTACCATGAGCTCCAGGGAGACCCAGCGTGTCGCTGCCGCCGCCCTCGTTCTGGGCCGCCGTCTTCTTCTGGGCGCTCTTGGAGATAACCACCAGCGCCGCGCCGATGACGCCGAGTAGCACCATGCCTACCTTCGCAGGAGAGCACAGCTGCAGGAGAAGAGACATCGGCGGGCTCGTGGAGCGGACCATAACGTTAACGGACATGTCCAGGAGCGAGAGGCTGAAGTTGTTGAGGGCGATGTTCAGGGTGAAGCACACTGCGAGGGCCATCACCGCGAAGGCCTGGTCCTTACTGACGATGCTGTGCGGCCTGTAGGCCCACGGCGTCAGCTGGGACACGAGGATCACCAGCACGAGGAAGAGGAAGCCCGCGAGCTGCTGCATGGCCGTCAGCACTAGGGGCGCATGGAAGCCCCGTATGTTGAGCTCCTGGGAGACCGTGTGGATGGACAGGATCGCCTTGATGTACAACAAGTTCATGAAGTTCTGGGCCCCGAAGAACAGGAGCAACTGCGCCAGGGTCTGGTACCTGGACAAGATGACGAAGACGCCGCCGCTGAGCACCAACGCCAACCAGGACACCCCGAGCTGCGTGCACAGATCCGCGGTTTCTATGCGGGCCGGCTCCTCGATTGCGGTGGTGCCATTAAGCATTCCTCCGCTCTCCAGCACCTCGACGCTCACGTGCACCTTCGAACCATCGCCCACTATGAGACTATGAGGCGCCTGTTCTCTGGGCCTCCGGAGATGCCCGCCCTTCCCCTCTATGTCCATGACGGCAGAGCTGCCTGCCACGGCGAGCAGCAAGCAGCAACGCGCGGCCGACATGGCTACTAAAACTCCGTCTTTGGGCGCTTTTGAATCCTATTGGGCCGTCTTGGGGCGATCCTCGGAGCTTGAGCCCAAATGGCTACGGAGGGGGCTTCCTGGGAGCATATTGGGGCCTCTTGGGGGCATCTTGGGGCGGAGAGCTTGACTTTTCAGTTCGCGTTCCCTCTCTTGGGCCCCTCTTGGGGTCTTCTTGGGGCCCTCTTGCGCCGTCTTGGGCGGCTCTGGGGCCGTCTCTCGGGGCTCTCTTGGGCCGTCTTGGGGCCTTCTTGGGGCCTCTTGGGCCGTCTTGGAGCGGTTTTGGGAGCCTCTTGGGCGGTGCTTTAGCGCCGGAAACACGAAACAGCGAGAATGCAAACAAAAATTAAACAAACAGTGAAGGTCAACGATTTTGCCCTCTCGGAGCGCTCTTGGGCGGCATCTTAAGGGCCTCTTGGGGCGTCTTGGGAGCCTCCGGGGTTAGCTTAGAACGCATCGTGCGTCGCCAGAGACCCCTGGACGGCGTCTTGGGGGTGTCTCGAGACCGTCTGGGGCCGCTGGGATTGCTCTCTGAAGGCTCCCCGGGGCGATTTTGGGCCTCCCAGAGGCGGGCCTGGGCCTCGGTCCCCACATTTGTGGTCGAGGTTCCGGCCCTCGGCCCCCGAGCCCGGTGCGCTATATATATATATATATATATATATATATATATATATATATATATAGAGAGAGAGAGAGAGAGAGAGAGAGAAAAAGAGAGAGAGAGAGATTCCCTTTTATATATCTTTTACAATCTGGGCGGAACGCGAAAAGGGTCGCCTCCCCCAAACAGGACTCCCGAGATCCGGGGCTTTGGGACCCTCTGGACGGGCCTCGAAGCGGCCCCCCCGGCCTCGCAGGGCGTTTTGTCAAGCCTTCCCACCACGCCTGGCGATCAGGGGGTCATCGGAGACGTCCCAGAGACCCCCAAGACAGCACAAGAGCGATCCCGAGTGACCGACGTGACCTCCAGATGGCCCAAAAGGCCTCCAGGACGGTCCCAAAGAGGCCTCCAAGAGCACTCCCAAGAAGGCCCCAAGAGGCAAAAATCATTGATTTTCTGATGGTTTTTGGTGAATTTAGGGGTTCTCCTCTTTTCGGCTTCCCGACGCTCCAAGACGGCGGTCTTCTGGGCGTCCGAAGCCGCCTGGGAGGCTCCAAAATCGCCCCACAACCATCCGAAAAGGCTTCCAGGCAGTCCAAGAGAGCCCCAAAACGGCACAACACGGGTCCAAGATGGCCCTCAGAGAGCCCCATGGCGGCCCAAGATGGCCCCAAGACACCCTCCGAAGCATTCCAAATCGTGACCCGGTCGTTCAGGGAGACCGCGGTTGGAGGCAGGGTGGCCCGAGGCAGCCCCCAGAGGCCCCCAGAATACGCCCAGGAGGCCTCCAGAAGGCCTTAACTTTTGTGAGGCCCCCAGAGGCTCTCCAAGGAGGAGCCTCCGCAAAAAAGAGCTGCGGAGGATGGGGAGAATGCGCAGGCTATGGCGAAAATGAAGAAAAAGAAGCATGGAGGAAGGATAACGAATCACATTATTATAGCGGCGATGCCAGAAAAGGCAACAAGGAGTTATCGCTAAATTGTCGGCTTGACCTTCCTGCTATTCCGCCTGCACACCACACTTCAAGGACCAAGGTGCATGGCGCGAAGCGCCAATGCAGTCTTGTATATTCCTCTTTCTATATTTTTATAAGCCCGGGCGGGGGGAAAACCCGTCCCCCCCCCATCCAAAAACCGGACTCCTGGGATCTGGGGATTTGGAACGCTCCGGACGGGCCTCGAAGCGCCCCCCGTGGCCTCGCAGGGCGTTTTGACAAGCCATCGCAGCACACCTGGGGCGATCAGGGTGGTCATCGGAGACGTACCAGAGACCCCCAAGACAGCACAAGAGCGCTCCAAGAGTGACCGACGTGACCTCAAGATGGCCCAAGAGGCCTCCAGGACGGCCCCAAAGAGGCCTCCAAGAGCACTCCCAAGAAGGCCCCAAGAGGCAAAAATCATTGATTTTCTGATGGTTTTTGGTGAATTTAGGGGTTCTCCTCTTTTCGGCTTCCCGACGCTCCAAGACGGCGGTCTTCTGGGCGTTCGAAGCCGCCTAAATCGCCCCACAAACATCCGAAAGGGCTTCCAGGCAGTCCAAAAGAGCCCCGAAACGGCACAACACGGGTCCAAGATGGCCCTCAGAGAGCCCCATGGCGGCCCAAGATGGCCCCAAGACACCCTCCGAAGGATTCCAAATCGTGACCCGGTCGTTCAGGGAGACCGCGGTTGGAGGCAGGGAGGCCCGAGGCAGCCCCCAGAGGCCCCCAGAATACACCCAGGAGGCCTCCTGAAAGCATTAAGAAAGCCTGAAGCAACTTTTGTGAGGCCCCCAGAGGCTCTCCAAGGAGGAGCCTCCGCAATAAAGAGCTGAGGAGGATGGGGAGAATGCGCAGGGTATGGCGAAAATGAAGAAAAAGAAGCATGGAGGTAGGATAACGAATCACATTATTATAGCGGCGATGCCGGAAAAGGCAACACGTAGTTATCGCTAACTAAATTGTCGGCTTGACCTTCCTGCTATTCCGCCTGCATACCACACTTCAAGGACCAAGGTGCATGGCGCGAAGCGCCTTTGGGCGTCTTGGGTCCGTCTTGGGGCGTCTTCGGGTTCTCTTGGCGCGTTCCCGGGGCGTTTTGAGGGCCTCAGGGACGCCCCAAGAGCCTGGGCACACACATTTGTGGTCGTAGTCGCGGCCCCAGGCCCCCGGACCTGGTGCGCTGTAAATCAACGAATTTGGGCTCTCGGGGCTCTGTTGGGAGTCCTCTTGGAGCCTTCTTGTGGCGTTTTGGGGGCCTCTTCTGGGTCTCTTCGGGGCTTCTTGAGGCAGAAAGCTCGACTGGTCGGTTCGGGCTTCCGTTCTGGAGTCCCTCGTGGGGCCGTTTTGGCGTCCTCCTGGGCGTGCTGGGCTCCTCCTGGGCCGTTCTGGGGCCCCCTTTGGTAGTCCTGGCGTCCTCTTGGGGGCTTCGCGGGCTTCCTTGGGGCGATCTTGGGGGGCTCTTGGGCTGCTTTCGAGCGTCGGGAACCCGAGAAGGCGAGATGACAAAAATCCTTCGAACATCTACGGAAAATAAGCAGTTTTTGGCTCTCAGGGCTCTCTCGGGGGTCCTCGTGGGGCCTTCTTGCGGCGTCTGGGTGGCCTCTTGGAGGCCTCTTGGGGCTTCTTCGGGGCCTCTTGGGGCCTCCCCGGCGCCTCTTTTGGCGGAAAGCTCGAATTGTCGGTTGGATTTCCCAATCTTGGGCTTCTCTTGGGCGCCTTTGGGGGCCCGTTTGGGCCGTCTTGGGCGCCTCTTGGGCCGTCCTGGGGCTCTTTTGGGCCGTCTTGGGGCCCTCGGGGGCGCCTCTTGGGCCGTCTTGGGGCGGTTTGGGGACCCTCTGATGTCGGCAAGAACGGTACGACAGCGAAAACAATCAATATGCTAAAAATGTACGTTTTGCGAAGGGAATGGGGCTATTTTTGCCTCTTGGGGACGTCCTGGGGGGCCTCTCGGGGGCTTCTTAGAGCGTCTGCGAGGCCTTTTGAGGTGTCTTGGGGGCCATCTTGGGCATCTTGGAGCGGCCTTTGGGTGTCTTGGGTCCGTCTTGGGGCGTCTTCGGGTTCTCTTGGCGCGTTCCCGGGGCGTTTTGAGGGCCTCTGGGACGCCCCAAGAGCCTGGGCACATACATTTGTGGTCGTGGTCGTGGCCCCAGGCCCCTGGACCAGGTGCGCCGTTTTAAGTATATGTATATGTGTATGTACATGCGTATGCAGATGCATATGCAGACACATATACCTATATATATAAGTATGTAAGTGTACTGAATGTGTACATGTGTATGTTTATGTGTATGTATGTGTGTGGAAATGTATGGGTATATGAACATGTATAAGTACATGTATGTTTTATGTGTATGTGTATATGTCGTTCGTACAGATGTGTATGTGTATATGTATATGCTCAGAAATTCACGCGCATCATTGGCGCCGATGTCTGAACTAGCACAGCTTGCCGAAAAGATCACGTACAACAACATGTAAGCAGTGCGGCGCGATGTCACAGCCTTTGTGTAAGCGGTCCGAGAGCACCCACCCCTTGTGGAGGCCTCGCAGCCGACAGACGTGCAAACGTCCCAGCCTGAGATGTACATGTATGCATACACACACATATATATACACATACACGCACGCATTGCACAACGTAGGTTGCACACCATATATTGTACCACATAGGGAACACCCTAGGTATTGCACTACATATATTGCATAACACTTATTGTTAGGAACACACTCTTTGGGGCCCATGCTGGCGAACAGGTGTTCAAGAACCGTGTTCTCATCTCAATGCCGTCTACATGTGTGGTCTGGTCAGCCACGATCCCTCATGAGATTTGCTCGGCGGGACGATCCCCATAAGATGCGCACCTAATTTCCTGGCACGTCCAGCTACGTGTGCGAACGTGACTGTTTGAGTGCGAGAGCGAGTCCGAGTGGACGACGAGTACGACGACGAGGAAGACGACGACGGCGACGGCGACGGCGGCGGCAGCTACGATGAGGGACGGCGAAAACGACAACTCACAGGCAGACAGGCCGTAAGCAGGCCCCCTCCCTTCCTTTGACAACTCGTCATACCCCCTCCTTCTCTTCATCCCTCCTCCATTATCCCTCTTCCTGCGTCCTCCTCCTCTCCCCTCCGTCGTCCCTTCCGTCCTCCCTCCTCCGTCCAGGCGGCTGCCCGTCTCCCTGCATCGAGATGATCGCGGGGCTCCGAGTGGACAGGCGCCGGAGGCGCAAGACCGAGCGCCTCGCTCGATGCATCCCCACGGTCCAGCCGCCTGGGGTGCTGCAGCCGGCGCCTCGCTCGAGGCGTTCTCGCACTACGTCTTGTAAGCGCCGACGTCCAGTCAACCAAACAGGCAAACCGCCTGAGACATCCCCAGGATCTGGGCGCGAACGGGCACC